GAACATTTTCAGTTATTGCCGCAATAACGTGCCAGCCAATAAAAACTGATAATCTGCCTACAAATAGGTTTTTGAAACAATATTTGCGATCAGAGATTGAGTTTTTTCCCTTGTGTTATATACATATTTCAATTTTTTGTTTTTAACCCCAATTCCTACTTCATATTATTTCATTGTATTGGACATAATTCCAGTTTTGGTTTTCCATTTCTCATTTTTTTTGCAGTTGCTTTTTAACTGTCAGACTTTTTCTGAATTGCAGGACGCAGCTGTTTTATCACGAGATCGTGGCCTCTCATCCTATTAAGGGTTTATATCTTGCAAATTATAATTTTTCTAAACTTTAAAAGATTTCCATTTACAAGATCCAAATTATAGATTATTATTACGGCACAAAATTAAGCCAAAATGAAAATCTTTCATATAACTTATTTACAACATTTCACCCTTAAAAATACACTTATTGTCCTCAATTTTAATGTACTTTTTCTTCACAGAAATGTGGACCAATTATATTGCTGGAACTATTAGCGATTTGTGTCCTGGAATATGTTAACCCGGATCAGATTACGTAAAACTGTCGTAGATTCTTGTTTTCACAGGCTAGATTTTAAAAGGTACTTAATAATTTGATATTGTGGCGCCGTCACTTAAGGATGCTGGGTTATATACGTTTCTGGCATCTTCTTTTAAAGAAAGAGGCTGATAGGCTTTAGAAGAAGTTAGTGTTTTGTTATTTATTTTTGCTTTCCTCCTGAGGCCGACCACGGGGTGGAGAAATCGGCTGCTGGGGAGAGGCAGCCAGCAGTCCAAGCACGGCCACGATAAAACGCCTCGTTCCCATAATACGCGCGCGAGCGCCGAGTGGGGAAACCCTGACAACACTATTGGAAGTCCAACAGCCAGGAAAGGGTCAGCTCGTAGTGGCCTTTCCCAACCTTTTATTTAAGGTTCATCAAAACTGTGGCGCCAACGGACTTAAAAAAAACGGTTCCCACGTTTTTCTTTTTTTTCTTAGCTTCTTCCTCGTCAAGCGTTGGGTCTCCGGTCTCTGGCACCCCGCGGGCCATCCAGCTTTGTGTCACAGGAGCTTGCTTGAGGGGGGCCTCTACTAAAACAAACTGTATATTATCACTTTTTGATACCCTCAGCGTCGACTGTTTAAACTCCTGTAGCAACATGGGACCAAAAAGGTTAAATAAATAAACGCAAAAAACACGAAACTTTAAACCACAGAGCAACGTCTGTTCTCTGCTACGGGTTTAGTTTTTTTTTGGGTGCCGATGCTTATAATGCTTCTCAACGCCACCGGCGCTGTTGTTTTACTCTTTCCATCACGCGACATTTTTGTAGGTTTTTTTTGTAGGTAAAATACATCATGAAGTGTAGGTTTGTGTGGTGCCTCGTGTGGGTGGGGGGGTGGGTGGTTGTGTGTGCCTGGATCCCTCGGACCCCCGTGTCGCCCTGTACAGGCTGCCCATATAGTTCAGTGTTGTAACAGTAATGGAGCGGTAGATTTAACAGGTTCACACAGTGTGGGAGTTGCGAGCGACTTCTGCTTGTAATGTCGGGTTCCCTTTGAGCATGCTCTCTTGCTTACGCAGAAACTGGTACTCTTGTGTGTGTGTGTGTGCTGTGTGTGTGTGTTGGTGTGTGTGTTTGTGTTTGTGTGTTTGTAGGTGCATTTGTGTGTTTGTGTGTGAACGTCTGCTCCGTACCTGGGCTGCCACATGGTCATTGGAGCAAGTTGAAACTACGTGACATTCAACCTGTGTGAATGTGTGACTTCTGAGTGTGTTTGTGTGTGTGTGTGTGTGTGTGCGTGTGTGCGTTGCCCAGGTTGACATATGGTTGGTGGGAGTCAAAGCCGTAGTGCAAACAAACTGCACAACTCTCATCCAAACCACCTGACTGAGTGTGTTTGTATTCTGTGTGACTCCTGACACGTACTGTTGCCTGGGTAGGTGTGTAGATGTGTGTGTGTGTGTGTGTGTGTGTTTTGACAATTTTGATAATCTATTAATCATTTAAGTTAATTTATTTAGCAAAAAATGTCATTTGTTTGCTGTTTCTCTCTGTTATATATGATTATAAACTGAATATTTTTTGCATCAAAAACCCAAAAATATTCAGTTTAAGATCATATTAATTCCTCTTATTTGACTAAACGAGTGTTTCTCAAACTCCTCCGAACATGTCAGTCTCTCCTAGAGAAGAATCACCAGTATAACCGATGTTTAAGCTCTACAGCAGCGTAGGCCATCATTCACCTATTGACGTTCACACAGGAGGAAGGTTTATTCCTAATAAGAAGATTATTTATTGTTGAATCCTGAACGCAACCAGTTCGAGAACCAGAGCTAATGTAGTGGAAAAGGGTTCTCCTGGTCCTTCCCAGCACTTCCTGTTTGACCTCTGCTTTCTATCTCACTGTCACATTTTATCTCGTAACTCATACTTAGCAGGCTCATATTCAAACAACATATTACAGGAATGTTATATGGTTTTTAATGTATTTAATGTGTACTGACATGTTTGGTATTTTGAAGCTTTCCCACACTCGACACAGCTGCACTAAAGGAGGAACTGCTGTTGTATTTGCAGTGACACAAGAAACAATCTCTTCCTGTGGTTGTGTGAACGTCTCTCGATACGAGTCGTCTTCTCAGGAAATCTTAGTCAACAGAAAAACACTTCAAAGGGAACTCTGCACTAGCGTTTCTTATTGTCTACCTGTGGAAATGAATCCTGTCAGAATGTAGACCGTAATGAGTGACTCATTTTCAGTGTTATAGATTACCAAACTTGTAATTTCCCAACTTATTATTTCCTGTCTGGCTGCACTTACTGCACTTAGTGAGCTCTCAAATCCATCAAAATGCATACATTTTCAGCGTGATCTAAACCAGCGTTGTTCTGTCTCTCCAGGCCGACATCTGGTCGCTGGGCATCACGGCCATCGAGCTCGCCAAGGGCGAACCTCCGAACTCGGACATGCATCCGATGCGAGTGCTGTTCCACATCCCAAAGTCTCCTCCTCCGACGCTGAGCGGAGATTTCTCCAAGAGCTTCAAAGAGTTCACCGAGGCCTGCCTCAACAAGGACCCTACCTTCGTAAGACACAGATTCACTCTAATGAACCTTATTGTTCACTATAAACACTTATAAAATACTTTACTTTGTACTTCTACTCCACGAGATCTCAGAGGGAAATACTGTTCTTTATACTCCTATACATTCATCCGACAGTCATAGTTATGAGTTATTCTACATAAAAACCACCTGGAATATTAGATACAGCATATTGTAAAAGATTAAATCTGTCGTTTATTTGTGCGATATGTGTGAATAATCATTTTTGCATCGTAATTTTCATTTTAAAAACTGTTAAAATAATATAATGAGACATCTGTTGAGGTCTGTTGTACCAAAATATACAAGTTTTGTCACATTTTACCTTTAAAATTGCAGCTTCTGTGAAACCATATACCTTTATTTTACTCAAAAAAGCGAAACAAGTTCAATGTTTTAACTTAAAACATTCTTGATCAAGTAGTTTTAATAATTTTAAAAGATACCTACTTTAATTTAGTATTTTCTATTGTGGTATTGGTACCTTTACTTGGTGAAGGATCTGGTTTTATATTTGTATTAATTATGCAAAAACATAAATATGTGTTAGAAATATTAAGGTTTTCTGAGAGGTTACAGTTTGTGTGAGTGATATTGAGGGAAAATGATAAAAAAAAATAAAAGAAAACACAAAAAACAAAAGTATTAGGACCAGGAATTTGATTCACAAGTACAAGAAAATACAAATTTTGTATATAATTCACTTGATTTTACTGTGTTTGAATAGTTTTTATTACTTTATAAGAATTTAATTTTATATAGTTTTGAGCAGGTTTGAGTGGAATAAATGTATGATTGTAGCTGCAGTTTGCTGCCCCCTGGTGGACTAACATCTCCATTTTCTGCCTCATATTTCCTCTTTTCTCCTGTATTTAAGATAAGTTCAGTTTCCACTTCTAATAACTTTTATTTCTCTTCGTGCAGCGTCCCACAGCCAAAGAGCTCCTCAAACACAAGTTCATCGTCAAACACTGTAAGAAGACGTCCTACCTCAGCGAGCTGATCGACAGATACAGGAGGTGGAAGGAGGAGGGCCACAGCGACAGCAGCTCTGACGACTCCGACAGGTAACGCCATCACTGTTTTACAATCCTGGATGTTGAGAGATCTAAAATATATGTAGACAAGCAGCAGAGAAGCACATATGTGTTGACCATAAGTCTTTTTTTTATGTGTGTAAAGTGAGTCCAGTAATAAGGAGAACAGCGAGTCCCCTGAGTGGTCCTTCACCACCGTCCGTAAGAAGAAGACGGAGGGCAGGAAGGTGCTCAATGGAACGGTCAGTAATCGTCTGTGTAAATGAGAGTCAGTGGATTAATACGCATGACATAAAGTCTGTGGTTAACATAAGCTTAAGCGATTCTCACATTTTGTTTTATTGCATAAATTACATTACAAGTATTAAAGAGTAACTAAACCCCAAAAAACACTTAATTATGCTGAAAATCGACGTATATTATGGATATTTACTACAATTTACTGCTATTTTAGTGCATTTCGGCAAAAATCATAAAAGTAGAGTTACTTTGTGAAGATTGTCTTACATGTTGCATGTTTTTTATACTAACAACAGGACATCATCCCTCCAGGGCTTTTTTAATGAGTCTACTTCAGAAACAGCTTTTCTTTCTCATTTGATTTTTTCTTTTGAACAAACGTTTAACTGGTAACATTTCTTTGAGTGTATATGAGGAATTTAATGGATTTAATAAAGTGATAAAAGGACAAGATTTTAAACTAGTTTCTCATTTTGTAAACTTAATAAAAAGCTTAATGTTTGATATCCTGTTTCCTGTTTCATGCACCTCAACTCAACATCCACCTCTTCCTCCTCCTCCTCTTCGTCGGTGCAGGGTCAAGATCAGCTGAGTAAATCTGCCAGTCTCACCACGGTCATCTCTCCCGTCTTCACTGAGGTCAGTATTTGCTAGAATTGATCTTTTTTTATCTTTATTTATATGCTCTATGTTTACTGTAACACACCAGTATACCAAGGCAAATTCCTTGCATGTGGAAACCTACGGAAATAAACCCGACTCTGATTCTGACTCTTACCTTAAGAAGGATCAATTGTAAACTGTAAACTCCTCCTTCGGGTCATTTAAAGGTGCAGAAATGTTTATTTTTCCTCTTTCTGTAGTTGAAGCAGCAGCACAAGGAGCACTCTGAGCAACGATTGGCTATTGAGGAGCTCGAACGCAACATCCGATTAGCTGAAGAAGTCTGTCCAGGCATCACAGACAGGATGGTCACACATATCATTGCCAGGTACCAGAAGTACGTCCACCATTTTCTAAATACGTCTCCTCTTTCTTACCCTCTGTATATATATTTATATCTCCGTCTTCCTCCATCAGATAATTTGTTTACTCTCTTTCTCACAGATTTACGACCAACTGAAGGACGGATGGATCCCAATAAATAATAAAAATAAATAAATAAATAAATAAAAGGAAGTACGCTATGTGAAGAGAGACTGTGTCTCCGTACGGTGACGCTGCTGGATGATCGGACACGAAGGAGATTTGCTGTGCGATGTCTCCTCGCTTGTACACACACACAATATACACACATACACACACACACACACACACACACTACTAATGTAATATATACACTATATATATATATATCTATTCACTGCTGCTGGTTGAAGGCCTTTTTTCTCCCAGAGTTAGCCCCAAAAGCAGCTGCATCCTTCGATCAATTGGTCTTAGATTAGATTTGTGGTTTTTTTAAGGTCACAAACTTCTCCTTTTTTTTTGTTTCTTTCTGACCAATTTGTAGTCAGACTTCAAACTTAAGTCCCTGATTTTGCTTTAGTTATGTTTTCCAAATTACCATCATGTGCCTTAATTATTTATGCTACGAGTCATTTTGTTGCTAACCGCACACAGAAAGATGTAAAAGAGGGTTCTTGTCCATCAGCAGTGGTATGTTTTGTGTCATGACTTGCCTTGACTTTGTAGATGTCTATATGTTTGTTCAGTAGCACTTGAGACAGATCATATGCCAATATTACGTTATTTGTTGTTGTTGTCTTCAGTAATGCTTTAAATTGCAGTTCCCTGATCCCAGGATTCAGTCAAGGTCAGCTCTCAAAACACATCCAATGTTCAGTTTAGCTGATAAATGCTGTTAAATCATCTAAAATCTAAGTTTCCCCAGTGAAAACCTGTTTAAAATAAAGTTTTTACTCATTTTTTGGGACCGCTAGTAGCTTGCTAACAAGTAAGCTAGCTAGCTAATTGTTGTTGTAGCTAAATTTAAATACTAAATATGTGTAAATCCTCAAGTTAATTAATCTATTTAAATATATATATATATAAGTTATAACCTAAATGTTTAAAATGGCTTCTGTTTGAATAAATCAGTGCTGTTACTTGTTTTTGCTAACATTCCTCAACCGTTGGCATCAAAATTGGGTAGGAAAAATGGTGGAAATGAAGACTTTTTGGTTTGTAGGTACGTAACTCGACTGTTGGTTAAGGTTTTATTCTGGGATTAATTTAATGGAATCTGTGTAGTTCTGTTTGCAATAAAATTAAAAATTAAAAATGTCCAGAATCTGCAAGCAAGGCACAATTATAGCACAGGGGTCGTCCACTCACTCACGAAAAGACTGTGTCCTTCGTCAATATGCGTCAAGTTTTGGGAAAACATTGTTGGGGACTGTCAACTTGTGTCTGAGGAGTTGATTCTTAAAGTAATGCTCGATGTGTAAAGGACGTTGTTTTTAAAAACCCAACGTTGAAAAGCAGCACGGGTTCCTTTTCGAGAGCACGATGGGGAACTGTAATCGAAAGTATTACTGATAGTTTGTACCAAAGACACTATAAAACCTGGTCATTGTATATTTTTGTCTTTTTATATATCATAAGGGATATGACTGCTTGTTGAGGGGGGGGAATGTAAAATGAAAGATGTAAGATTTTACTGAAATGTACTCTTTTTTTTTGTAGCGGGACTTAGAGTTTTATGAATAAATATTTAAGTTTGATTGAGAATCATTTTGTGCTTCAACTATGTCTTTATTTTATATTTGTGTCTTAAATAATCAAATATAATCTGATTGCTTGGGTGAAATAACCCAAACATTTAACATACCAGTTAAATTTTTCTTGTTTTATTGTATTCATTTGACCACAATTACATTTCTTGTGTAATCCTTTATTCACAAATGCAGTTGCTTTGTATAAACAAAACAAAAAATTCATTCATTTTCTATAGAATTCACACGAACCATTCATATAAAATAACACATTAATACCCAGTTACATCACCCAGAAAGTTTTCCAACCTTACACACACATCACACCGACAAGACTTGTATCAAAGTCAAAACAGTTGTCTTTCTTGCCCCATCTAGCTGATACGATAGATGATGAGATAGATAAAATGCCCCTAGCCCTAGAACAATTAAGCCATAATTGGGAATATACAAAAATTAGACCAAAGTTGTAAAAAAACTTTTTTTTTGTCTTCAATTTTAAACCTCGCATGTACATTTCTGCTAGCACAAGGCAGACGTCTTTGCCCAGTAGAAGAAAATGAGGACGTCTTAACACCTGATTCCTACAGAGACAGCTTTACAACCCAGAGGCTTGTTGCTGGTGTCGTACAGCTGTTATTTCTTCATGGCTTCAGTAACAGCGAGGTCAGTTTTTGAGGTTAGTACAGCTTGTTTGACCTTGCATGGTCAGCTAGGAGGGCTACGTAGATATAATTTAAAGTTTGCTAGCTTGTTCCCATAACTACTTTTTGCTAAAAACAAGGCAAAAACAGTACATTTCATCTGCCAGCACACCTAAAAAAACAAAAACTATACATTTCTCATGAAGCCATCACATTTATTACAATTGAGCAGTGTTTAAAACCATTCTGTGATCGTATCATGAACCTTTGCACGTGTCCATGTTTCTATCTACAGTGTGACTTCAGTAATCTTTGCAGCACCTTTAGTTTCATCTCTTTTCTTTTCTTTCTTCTCTTCTTCACTTTTTAACTCTTTCTTTTCTTTCACCGCTCCATCCTCCTCCTCTTCCTCCTCCCCCTCTTCTTCCTCCTCGTCCAATTGGAGGCTCCCAGAGGAAAACCTCATCCTGGCTAGTCCGGCGGGCCGTGCCAGTTTCCCCAGCGGGGGTGGGGGGCAGTAATACGGATAGAAAACCTCCGAGTCGGAGTCACTGTAGCTTCCCGTGGTGCCGCCGATCATGCATAGCGAGGTGGGTCGTTCGGGCAGAGGGGAGGAGTTTAGAGGGAGGTAGGTGGGTCTGGAGGGGCGTGTCAGATGAGGGTAGTAACCAAGGGGACGGAACTCAGAGGCGGGGTTAGAGCCCCTCGATAGGTGAAACTTGACATCTGGTTGGCTAGCTACACGGCGAGGCAACCCTGGGAGGAAGTTGGAGTCATCGCTGTAATGCCCTGCCTCCGTATGGCCGACACCCAGTAGCCTTGCTCCATTGCTTCCTGGCTGATAAACCCTCGCCAATCCAAGCCCGCTAGAGCCAGAGGGACGCAGGTTCCTCCTGATTGGTGAGTGGGACGGCGAATCGTGGCTCAGTGGGTAGAAAGACGGCCGCGACAGGCCATCCATTGTCACATAATCCCGCCTCCTCGCCTGCGGGAAACGCTCCAGTGAGGAAACGGCGACGTAGTCTGTCAGGTAAGGGTGTCGGCTGAGAGGCGAGGAACCGGCTAATGAGAATGTCGGGAGGATGGGGTGATACTGGTACGCCGGACTGTTTGGGTAGAGAAGAACCAACTGCTGAGCAGCATCCGGATGCGGTTGGGGATTGGGTCGACGGCGTGACCGGTTGCCGTAGACACCGGCTAGCCTTTGTGCTTGGCGCTGCCCCGCGATCCGTCCCCCCCTCGTGTCCTCCACCACAGATGTGGAGGCAGATCTCATCTTGGGCGAGGCGCTTAGGGAATGAGAATGGGGAGCGACTTGTGAGAGAGGGCGCATCCTCTGGGTTACCTCACCGGACGATTGACTGCGTCTAGCCCCTCCTCCACCGATTTCGATGTCGTCTACACCTCGGTGATGTGGGTCCAACTCATCCTGACTGCGGACCGCCAAGGCGTGACTCGAACGAGGATACGGGTAGGAGTGCTCGTACAACTAAGGAGGTAAGACACACAAACATTAGATGATTGCCTATTTGTCTGAAAGCATCTAAAAGCCCCAAATATTCAATTTACTAAAAGTAAAACAAAGAAAAGCAGCAAAAATTTAGCTTTTTGCTTGAAAAATGACTAAATAGTATTTTTATTACTTGTTTGGAGACGTCCGTGAGGAGATCCGGAGAGGAGCGACACTGTCTGGGATCGTAGTCTGACTGACAGTAGGTCCTGGATGAGGAGCAAGAAGGTAACAAGGCCAAATTATATATACAGATGAGAAGAAAAAACCTCTATCTACCTCCAAATGTTTCTTTAACCTGTTAAAACCCACCTGCCCACCACCCCCAAGCTTAGGGTTACAATGGTGTGGGTGGGTCAGGGGTTAGGGGTGAGGTTACATTGGGTTTTAGGAGGTTAATATATTATTAACCAACAGGATAATGTTCTTGTCTTCCTTTACCAGTGTGGTTTGGCTTTGACCCTTAACCCTCCACAACTATTGTACTCTTGTATCTGTTTGTCAAGAGTGAGTAAACTAGAGACACAGTTAACACCATTTTGGTCCTTGATCAATTGAGATTAATGCCTGAATTGGACAACAAAAGCTGTGGGTACCTACCAAGGTATTGGTATCACCACTGTGAGGACTGGACTTTGGTGCTCACAGTGGTGAGTACAGCCATGCTTATCAGAGGTGGTGGTACCCAAATGTCTATTTTAGGCACTAAATTACATATTTAGCATCCTGTTGGGGTTTGCCATCCCTCCACAAGTTCAAAACCTTTGAGCATCAATGCTAAGGGGGCCTAAATCTCCTCTGGTGGTTCTTGATGGATCAGGGCACTGTCTGCACTGATGATCTTTAATTGATTTTGGACCGAGGGGCTTGATAAGTTATTCTCACCTCTCAAAGTGCGAAGGCTTCTTCTCCCCTGATCCCATACACTCCAGCAGCTGTTTTTGCGTCCGTCCGCTGCCACACAAACAAATACTACTTCAGATACTAACTCAACAACATCCTCTTTCAGCATTTAGTACAGTACATTGTGTTTACCTGTATCTAAAGCTGGAGCCCTTACTGGACAGCAGGGTTTTTTGTATCGTCTTCGGTTCCTCTGCCAGTCTGAAGAAGGCATGGTACTCTACGCAGGTCTTCCAGAAGGACTTACACACATCTCGACTGGCCATCGAGAACTCTAGTGTGTCCTTACAAGACGGCTGAGATGGACAACACATACAGTACATGTGAGTATTGAACAAATGCAGTCACACAACTTCCAACAACATCCAGGGAGTTTAAAAGGTCAGGTCCTCACCCCAACTTTGTCGTGTAGTTTGATGAGGAAGTATTTGCGCTTGAAGCTCAGCTTGCGGATTTTTGCCCAGCTGAACGTGTTGATTTTGGTGTTTCCCTAGAAAGCACAGGAGAAAATGATCAATTCAGTGTTAGAGTTTGGTCTGTTGATGGCGCTGGATAAAAAGTCAAGGGGTCACCAAAGTCTTTGGGATTAATCCTTTGGATACTCTGAATGTCTGCACCAAATTTACACAATTTTAACCAATAGTGGTTGAGATATTTCACTCTGGAGCATTAACTTCTCCACTTCCTTCCACTGTACAGAAATGAAGCCAAAATATCCCGGACACAGCCGCCATCTTGTGCTGGTCATTCGGAGCCGGGGTCGGAGCCGTGGTATCGACTTGGGGCTCAGCTATCAATCATGACGTGAAACCCCCTTTTATAGCTTCAAAAACCCCCAACTTATTTGTAAAAAATTAATACTTGAACATACATCAGTGTGATAAGAACTACTTAAAATGACAGAAACCATCTTTGGGAAACATTTATTTGACTATGGAGTCAGCAGGCTTTATGACCTAAACTGCAGTCAGCCACCGGGTGGGTATCACGATGTTTTGGCTTCACTTTTGGAGAGCTGTCATGTTGTCCATCTTTAAGTCGATGCTCTGGACTAACTATAGCCGAGACCATCAACCACACACCTGAAAGACCAGTACTCCAGAGTGCGTGACGGCCAGGTTGATCCTCATTCCCTCCCCGTCGTGGGCGGCATGAGGCCTGATCCCGTACATGTCCAGCTTCCTTGCCACCTCCAGCAGGTGGATATCGGAGTCCGCTGGAGATGCACCTCTACAGAGAGAGAGAGAGAAAGGGAGAAAGGAGAGAGAGTGACTGAATGAAAAGTGCAAACAAACATCAATGGGTGTGATTTATTCGGGGTGAAATGCTTCCTCACAGCAGTCCCTAAATGTACCTGTGTTTCTTGTGAAACTTGATGATCTTGTGGTCTAGATATTCCTGGTTGGGGACGTACTGCTTCATCTCTAAGTGGTGACAGTCCAGCTCTTCGTCAAAGTCCCCTAGCTCTGCTGCAACACACATAGAGAAAAACAAGACTGATAAAACAATGTTTACATGTACATAAACCAACTCTGAACAGTCCCAGGATTCATTCATCTGTCTTTTATCTCTCTGTTTCTAGCTATCGTCATTCAATTAAAATAAAGTAGATTCTTCCTCAGATATTGACGAGAGTGGTAAATTACTAGGAGAAAACTCAAGCCAAACTCAAACTCCAAAATTTGAATATAAACTAATTATAATGATTATTTACTTTTCCTTTTCAGAAAAACTTGAATCTTTAAGTTTTGAAAGCAAAATTTTTCAAAATATTTTGTTGTTTTAGCATTTAGCTGAATTTAATTTCAAACACCATAATAATGGAAAATGTTCTTCATAGCTCAACAATTTTTGAAATGTAGATTCTAAAACTCTTTTCTAAATAAGAAAAGTAAATTACCTAAAAAAAAGATTATTGGTCGACAAACATTTTTGTTGACTTAAAACTCTTGCATTGAAATTATACGTTTTTTTTTATAAAGCCTCAACATAAAGTATTTTCTCCTCTTAAAGCTACACTAGGTAACGTATTTCAGAAGCATTTCTTTTGTTATATTGGTTAAAATTATCTTTACATCCCAATCACTGCCTGAATTAAACCAGAAAATGTGTCGGTACCCTAATTAAACACAACTTTAACCCTAATTCTTTTCCCATTTATTATCCTTTTTAACAAGGACATTTTCGGTGCTGTTTGCGTAGCATTAAGCTAGCTATGAGTTTACACAGAGACGCAGTTACGCAGTTGTTTAGGAGGTGCTCACCACCATTTCTGTAAGCAGGGTTTTAGAAATACTGAGGTCCAAAAACTGAACTTGCTTTGGGGCATTTAAGTTATTTTTAGCTTTTCCAGAGGTGGCAGTAAGAAGTAAGGGCACTAAATTATAATCTGTAAAGTAACTAGTAAGTAAAGTTGTTGGATTAATGTAGTGATGACATAATAAAATGGTAAAGTACCTTGAATTTGTACTTAAAACGTCTCAAGTACTATAACGATGTCTACATTATAGACATTACATGGTTTTTAAAGCTTACACTGCAGTATGTGAGAAACCAGCAGGGCGGCGCTGTTGTCATGACAGGTCAGACTGCCGTTGGACAAATCCTGCTTTATCTGTAAGGCAAAAAGATACCTACACACACACACACACACACACACACACAATAGGACAGTGTATGATTCATTGATTTCTAGAAAGTGTGAACGGTGAAAAGAAGTCTGGTGAAAAGAAGAAAACATGAATAAGTTACCTGGTGAGGCCTCTTTTCAGTTGTCCAGGATCTGGTGGGAAGAACTTTACTATAAACCTGAAGAAGAGATCGTTGGTGTCTGACAGACAGAAAAGAAAAGGAAAAGGAAATATTACAGATACAGAAGCAGCAATGAGGTGAATTCAACAGAGTCTGATGTGGCATTGAGAATAACTATATAGAAATATCCAATGTTCTCGCTGATGGTCTTTTTTGTTTGTTTTTGTCATACAAAGGCATCAGTATTAAACCGAGACTGTACATAACCAGTTAAAAACAAAGAAAAACAGCAAATTTGGGCTTAAATTAACGTTTCCTGGCCATTTTAACTGCTGTTCAAACAGGTAAAGCAGCCTTTTCGAAGACATACACGTTTTAAGGAATCACAACTTCATCATCAGCAAAATAAAACACATTTAAAATACTTTCAGATTTCAACCTAATCAGTAAAACAATGTACATTTTTTAAAACAGTAGCTGTAATTTGGAGACCATATCTCCTTCTTACAGAACTCCCTTCATTAACAAGATAATTTTAGTGCCTTCAGGAGGACACTGTGCACATTTTATATATAAATATATATAAATGAGACAAAAATGCATTTATTTGAAGGAACTGTGACAGTTTGTTCAAACATCAGTCGAACCTGACTTCCTCCATCCTTTACAAATTACATTTCTTCTTGTGAAAGTGAAGAGAAACTTCCTTTGACTCACATTTAATCTGTTTGACCAGCGGCTTCAGCAGCTCTAACCACACCTGCAACAGAGACAAGGCGGTTTTATGGCAAAAGAAATTAAAATATTCTGCCTGCGTGTGTGTGTTCATGTGTGTTTGACTTTCTTACGTAGTTCCCGCTGTGGTGTCTGAACTCCAGTCCGAAGTACTCTTTCTCCAGCAGCTTCAGATGTCCGCACACTTTATTGAAGAAGTCGGCGCCTAAAACCCTTTGCTGAGACAGAGAGAGAGAATTAAAGTAAGAAGGATAATTGGATTTTTTAATTGAGACTCTCTTAAAACTGAACACTCGGGGGAGCCTGGACTGCGTGGTGTGGATCAATTTTCTCTTTCCATAATGAGAGTTTGTGTAATTTCACTGTTATAGGTCAAATGAGGTCCATTGGTTTCAATGTGAACTAGAAAAAGACTTCCTGTCCTCCTGCCGTGCTGCGTTTCACTGCTGTTAACGAGTCAATAGAAGCTCAGTTACACACAAATAAAGATTTAATTGTGAATGAGGAAGAAACTCTCCACTTGCTAAAGGCAGGATAATACAAACAGATATACATATTGTGAAGCTTAAAGGTCCAGTGTGTAACATTTAGGAGGATCTGTTGGCAGAAATGTAATATAATATTCATATGTATGTTTTTATTATTGTATTCATAGTATTCACACAATGTCAATCGGGTCAATAAGGCTCATTATACTGCCCTATAAACTAGTCACTACAATCTGGGTCAGAATGACTGAAATTGAGCCCATAAACTGAATAATAGTAGTAATAATAATTTTAAAAAGTAATAATATTCCACCAGTAACTGGTAGTGTAACTAATTACTAATACCTTTCAGTGATAACCCCCCTACTAGTTTGAAATCCAACAATCCAATCACATCCATGGATTTATTTTTTTATAATTGTGGAGTTTGGAAGATGGAAATATTAACATTACTTAGATTTTACCAACAAAAACTGGATTTTAACTGATTTTTATCGTTGTTAAGTCTAATTTTGGGGAAAAGGGACCAATTTTGTGGTGAGTAGCAGAAAAGTAATATAACTTATAGTGTAACTAATCCCTGTAGGCAGTGAGTAAGAAGTAAAGTAATAATATTACTATAATACTATTAAATTTTTCGAGTGAACTAGCCGAACACTGCTTCTAAAACTCGAATAATATCGACATATCTCACATCTTAATCGGAAAACGCTAAATTCGGAATATGTGTTCTCATATCCGGAATAAAGGTGGAAAATTATCGGTGATGTATAGTCACAGACTTGGTTTTATGGTTAAAATATAAATACTGAAGTACAGTAACAAAGCTGCTTTTACTTTTTTATTTTCAGTGTGGTGTTTGTACTTTTAGAGTGAAATTAAATCTTGTATAACTTATATTATTTATATATTATAGATTTTAGCCCTTTTAAGTAAAGAAAAATATATTAATAAAGATTGTTTTTCTCTCTCTCGTGTCTCTAATTACTGAGCTGCTGTTGTTCCCTCACTGCAGCGACACATGTTTTTTTTTTTAGTGTTTGCTGTCTGCTAGCCGGTGTTTAGCACTCCGTCGGGGGTCACTGGGCGTCCCTCATTAACTTGTCATGAGAGAGAGAGAGAGAGGGAGGAAGAGGAGGGACAGAGCAGCTGTTAGCGATTATAAAGAGAGCACAGGCCTAACCGATGATTACTGGAAACAAACGGCCGCCCCCAGAACAACGGAGCAGATTGAGAGGAAAACTTTACTGTCCAATCTGCTGATTATCAACTGTCCTTTTAAATAAAGTTTAAAGATGAACTATTAAAAAAAAAAACTGCTGTATTTAGCTTAGCATTTCAAGATAGCATCTTGTTGGTTGAAATGTTGTCACATGGCGGGTCCGCCACATTAAAGGTGCAGTGTGTAACATTTATGAAGAGCTATTGTCTTAAATATAATCTTATATTCAGAGGTATGTTTTTATTAGTGTATAATACTTCTACACTCTTGGAAGGCTGAGCTGTATTCGAATGGTTGTAATCTGCCACTTTACTGACAGACGGCACTAAATCCTTCACACCCGTCCTTTAAGTGTCATTCCAAACCAATTAGCCTTAAGGTGGGAGTGGCTTGTAAAGAGACAACATGTACCTACAAATGTGTTAAATCCATTAGTCGTAAAAAAGTTTAATCTTATAATGACTCTGTTTTTAAACATGTGTACACTGGTATTAATGGCTAAAAAGAGTTTTTGCTTTGTTTTTTTATCCGTTTTATCCACTAAAAAGTTAGAACATCTGTGTAAAATGTTGTTAATGATCCTGCATTTAGAATAATGTCATTATATAAACCCATCACCCCAAACTCTGGAGTGACCTCCAGCGTCTCTTGGCGCCAGTGTGCAGAAAGTTGTGATGCATTAATGGTGAAATTGTTTAGTCAGGGTTTGGATTAGCATCGTTGTCGGCGGAGTTTAACACAGTAGATATCGACCCCACCAAACGAACCAAAACTCATGCAGCACGTAAACCAAACCAGCCCCCTAATCCTCAGTCAGTTGTCAGATCTTTTGCTTCTTTGTTGCCATGTTCCTTTGCCTGTAAGTCTGTTTGTATCCATCATTAAAGCTGCAGTCGGTAACTTTTATAAAGAATAACTTTATGTCATATTTGATGTAACTTTCACTTTAATACAGTAGAACATGAGACAAATAATCTGTGAAATTATCAGGTTCGTCCGAGTGCTCCGAACGGCATCCGCAAGAATCCACCGGGCCTGAACATCAACAACCAATCAGAGCTGAGAAAGTTGATTGTGAGTCTTATTTATACGTTACAATATCTGACACACACACACACACACACACACACACACACTGTTGAATCTTTAGAGTTGGAATGTGCGTTTGTTCTGTCACACACATTTATTACCTCCCCTGTTTACCAGATGCACTATATTTGTCACCGGGTGGGTACAGTTTATTTTTGCCTCTCATCCATCCATCCATCCATCCATCCATTCTTCCTTTCTTTTTTTCTTCCTCTCTTTTATCGTTTCTTCATCCCTCCTCCTCCTCCTCCTCCTCCTCCCCCTATAAAGATGCTACTAATGTCCCAGAGGCCGCTGGGAAAGCGCCAGAGAAAGCATGGGCGTGGAAAATGGAGCTACTTTGCTAACACAATACTGCAAGACACACACACACTTACACACACAAATACACACACTTACACACTTACACACACACACACACACAGTGGAAGGTCTCTTTTTAGATTGCGTTACTGCCTCGCAGGCGACGTCACCATGTTGAAAACGTCCGGCTCTGCTTTTTTCCGGAGCTGCAGAGTAAAAAACACACGACGGTTCATAGACAGCAGAGACTTTAACATCCAGCTGTTCACACATCTCGCAGATGTTCTACAGTCGGAGGACATCCTGTTAATGTTCGTGTTTTAATAAACAAACACAGTCCATTTAGTGTTATTTAATAAAAAACATTTAATTCTCTTTGTTTACTTTAACTCCTCTGTTGCAGTTCGGAAGAAAAAATTAAGTTTAACATTTATTTGACATGTTAAATAATCTGATTTACACTGAATCTGATTATTTCTTTGTTATTTATTGACATTAATGTTGTTTTGAATCCAGTGGTAACAAGCTTTTAATATAACACATAATTTTTCATACATTTTTCTCAACATACTTAAAAAAACACCTCTAGAACAACAGATTAGGAATTTCTGATCCTCATAATTCCTCACTTTTCTTGGTCCAGTATTCCCATTTTATCCTGTTACACATTATAAAAATGTCTCTCAGGTCTGCACAGTGGAAATACTAAACCACGAAGAAGCAACAGATTATGTTTTCTTTCTGAATCTAGATTATAACAGTGCAGAATATGTGTGCATCAAGAATTATGAGGATCTGAAATCCCTAACTTATTGTTCTTGAGTTGAAAAGATCCTTTTTTTTTAGACTACAGGTAAAGAAAAACTTGCACTGAAGCTTCATAGTTGGACCAACCAAAAATGTTATGTGTAAACTTACTTCTACTGTTGATGTTTGTGCATGAAGGTGATTCACATATACATAAAAAATAAAAAAGTTCCTACTCCGAATCGTCGTTAATACTTTCTCTAATTTGTAGTCAGAAAACTGTGATAGTTCGTACGCTGGGGAAGTATTAAACCACCTGATGGATCAGCAACCTGTAGAAGTATCAGGTGTTTTAAATTAAATTTAAATTCATCAACTTTCGGTCATAAAATTAAGAAAATAACATATTTAGACATGTATTAAGACATAAATATAACAATAATCTGTGTTTCTTTTACATTAAAATCCTTAAAAAGGCATCTTCTCCTTCTATCTCAATAGAAATGACAGAATATATGCAGACTGTGGACACAAGATGTCTCCTCCTCCACTGTAACGTCTCAGTGTCTGTGCACTGTATAAGTTTCATACTGGATATTACTACATGATATGTGATGTCACAAATCATGCTCGCAGGCCCCGCCCCCTTTAAAATCTTATTTTTAGTGAACTTTCCACTTTCAGCAGATGAAAACATCCTTTTAGTGTCAAACATCATTCAAACATCAGACTGTAGGAACAAGAAGAAACAGATTTCTGACTGGACGGGAACTTTAAAGTCAGATTTCTCTCATTAAACATGTTAGAAAATAATATCTGAAAACATTATAAAAGACTGAACCCGTTTTTAAGCATTTAGCATAAAAAATGTAATATTTTATTCCTCCTTTTTTGCTGGGGACCGACTACCCTTGTTGGTCCCCAGACCCCAGTTTGAAGACCACCAGGTTGGATTGTACTGTACTAGCTCTACTCAGAATGTAACATTATAAGTAAAAACAATAGTTATTGAGTTAATATTGTCCCAGAATTATAAAATACATAAAAAATAAGAAAAAAAAATAAGAAAACAGTAAAAAATAATGTGGAAATAATGTGAAATATTTATTTTCTAATATTTAAAATGTAGAAAAGACATTACAAGAACAGTTAAATATATATTGTTATTATTATTATGAATAAATGCTAATAAATAAACATTATTATTGTTATTATTTCAGTCTTTCACTCACCTCTACCTCGAACGTGCGCTCGCTGTCATCCAGGAAGATCACGCGCAGCCGGAGCTTCGTCTCCTTGGAGACCCGGGACTTGGTCGCTAGGCTCCCGAGTCTCC